TTGCACTTCATCATTCTCCCCTTGAATGTGCACTGGAAATATTTAAACTTGAGATGCTTAAGCTAAATTTATTCTATGATACCCACTGGGCTGTCTAATATATTGCACTGATTATCTCTTACTTATGGGAATCTGTCAGCAATGTAACAAGGTAGCCAATGAGTTCTGTATATTGCTAAAATGAAAAACCAGTTATTAGATGGTGGGGAAAATGTTACTCACCAGTAACTAACTCTATGACTTTTGGTGGTGATGGAAGCTCTTCCATAAATGCAACTGAATTTCAAATTCTCTTAATAGTATTTGTGTATTGTAGCAAAAGTATATCAGCAATGCATCTCATACTATTTGCATAGCAACTCAGAAAGGAAATTTGTCCTGGACTTTAAAAGCTGTAAAGATGCACTATTCCCCATAAGCTTTGTATGCAATATTAAAAGGCCTTCATAAAAGGTTTATAACAAGTTAGAGCAGAAAATATTCTCCCCACTTTTTTTTTTAAAGTAGGAAAACACCGTTGTACCAATTATTAAAGAGTGTTTTCTAAGTGTCACTCCTTAGCCAGCTGTTCTAAAGAATGCTCTGTGACTGGCATCTATTCCTATCAAGGGACTGTGACACTGTCTAATTGTGACAATGCGTAGTCTCTCAGTGGTGGAGAAATTATCTTGATCAAAATCCAATGGGCAATACCCACTTTCACTATAAAGAATGGATAGTATATCTCTGAAGGAGGGTTGCAAAATGTAAATAGGAATTAAATATGCTTTTTGTGCATAAATATTTAAGAACTGGAATACAAGATTACTTTTATATGAACTTTTAAGTTTCTTGGGACATGAACAACACACACTTTTTCTTACACACGTTTTTATATAATAATCAATTGCTAGAATCCTACAATAAACTTTACACTTTGAAAGTCATTTTAAAGTTTTGTATGGGTGATTTGAACAGATGGATTAGAAGACTCCATTGAGACAGTACTCCCAAATATGCTGACAGCTTTATAGTCAAATAGCAACACCCATGTTTTCTGCAAAAGTACACTTCCCACAAGGCACACAAGTGGTATGTTGGACAGTGATTACAATGGCTTGCATGTGAAATGTATAAAATGCACTGAACTGAAAGGTAAGATGGTGCCTGCTACTTCTTCAAGATGTTACTTTACTGGCTTTTGAAAGCCATCTGCAAAGAAAAGCCACTCCTTCCAATATTTCCCTCAGAAAACTGAACATTATCTGGTCAGTGTTTGTTTAACTTCTGCCTCTTCCTCCACTCCTACATTAATCCACGCCTCTGAAGCAGAGTGGTAAATTGGCAGCAGCCTCTAAGATGCCATGGTAACCCAACACAAAACCTCTGAGCAAATATAATGAGAAAAATCAATGTCAGAAGCACAGAGTAGGTCACAAGAGCCAAAGTCTTATGGCAGTGGTAGTGCTGAACTGCCATCTTGTTTTTCATGGGTCTGTTGGTTCTGTGTACGTCTTAACTTACCTTTTCTGATTTGGAGTCTTGTGCAAGGCTTCATTTACTTAAAAGCTCACTTGGAAAGACATATCAGAAGGACACTGGAAGAATGATTGGCCATGCTTGGTATAACTCTGAATATGATCATGAGAAATTTGTTTTGTACTGATGCCTGATGTACTGTGCCTTTATGCCAATCTAAGGGAGATTTACCATGACTGGCTCATTCTTGCTTTAAATTCAGAAAAGAATCTCTAGGAGGCTACTTCAAGCTGCCATTCAGTAGCTTGGCCAGATACTAAATACTTTGATGTATTCCTGCATGAGAGGATTCCTAAATTTGTCCCCCCACCCCTGATTAAGGATGTAAGTTAGTATCTAGAAGATCCAAATTAGAAGGAAAGAGGGATGCAGTATTCACCAAACCTTGTGGGTTTATGCTACAGTAGCAAAATCAGGCACTGTTGCAGCACCCCTATTTCAGCCACTGCCACCAATTCCCTCCCACTGGCAGTGGGGGTGGCTGAAGCTAGCTTGTCTCAGATGGCTCAGAGTCAAGTAAATTCTGCACTGGGATAGCCAGTAGAGTAGTTCTTGGTGTGTCTAGTACATTTTGAGGTTTGTAGATGAATATTGTAAATAACTAGAAATATAGTACTGGAAGAGATACAAAGCCTCATGCTTCTAAACCAGTTATTCTTAACTAAGATGCCATGAGATCCTTTTGAAGGTGCCACACCAGTATTAGTTATGCAAACCCCTACATGCGCTTCACAAGGTAAACCCAGAGATTTCAAATAGGAATTCATCATGTCAAAAACATTCCCACCTGTCATGGCCTTTTTAAGTTCTCTGCAACAGAACAGCTGCTTTGTTATTGTTCCAGTCAAGAAATAAGTCAAAAATAAGATCTGGCATATTCTGAGGGGTGCCCTGAGTCTAAAAAAGGGTAAGCACTCGTACTGCAGGTTGGCCACCCCTGCCTTAGGCCTGTTTTTTTCCCTCCCCAACTCCTCTCTGCAGTGCAGACATGAGGCATGCTAAGGAAGATCCACACTGGCCCAAGATCCCTGGGAATTTGTTTCCCCATTTCTTAAGTTTACATTCTAGTTAATACAAAAAATTATAACCCACTGCTTTTGGTTTACTAGTTACTGCAAGTTACTGAGTAGTGCTGCTGTGAGACTTCTGTAGCAGATGAGAGAGGTGTGTACGTGTATGTAGTTGCTGAACCCACTTTTAAGGAAATGAGAGAGTTAACAGTAGAGAAGTGCTTCCTGCCTTCTGAACTTCTGAGAAGTGCATCAAGCAAGCTTGCTGCAGCTTTATTATAGTCATATGCAAAATAAACTCTCTAAAGCAATAATGCAATTTAAGGGACCAATAGTCCAGATTCAATTTATGCAAGAAAAACAGAAAATTGACAATTTTACATGTATTATACAAAATCTTATGACATTACATAAACATGTAGGAGGGTTGTGTGGGTACAAAGGACTTCACCCCACTAGTAAGTCACTTTTGCTGGTTAACAATACAGAACAGAATTTGGGGCATTGAAGAGGTCACTTATTCCATGTGTAATTTTCAGATAAACTAACACACATTGTTATTGGACAAGAGATCTCGATAAACATGGATGGAAAGGTATTTTCAACACAGTTTCTTAGAGTTAGGGACAGTCTATTTACGTAAAGCGGACCTGGTTTGATACAAGCAGAAAGGAGCTACTACTTGGACTTGGGGGTTAAGGAACTGCATATTACTATGTCTCTAATGTACAGTATCTAGAAATTTTAGGCCAAGTGGTAAACATCAAATGCAGTTTGCACATCATGATTGTTCAAACCCTGCATTGGAGTCATTTACAGAGTGAAATACAGAAGGAATTTCTGATTGAATGAAATATTGTTCCAATACTAAAGGTGTGAAAAACGTTATCCAGCTTGAGTACTTAGCATGCTCAAAATAAGGCTACATTATTTCTGGTATTCTTTATTAAAAATACTGCTGTACACATGGAGAATGAAAACAGGATTAAAGATGAGTAACACATTGGAATTGTGACATAAAAACATAACATATTGGTGCTTTCTGGGGGAAGCTGTTGACATCTGAATTACTGAAACCAGGGCAAAACAAAAATACGTAGGTACCCTTAACAAAATATTTACAGCATAGTAAATACAGAAACAGAATTTAAAACAGGTACAAAAATTAAAATGACTGACATCACATGATTTCAAAGGTTGTCCCTTCTGTGCTTTTAGCTGTAAAAACTAGGAAGGTCAGCATTATATTCCCAATGGAAGGGTAAGTCCTGGGTGATCGCTTGGTTTAAACACACACACAACTCTTCCTATGAATGGGACAGACTACAACTTTAGGACAACCTTCTAAATGGAATTAAAATGGGGTAGAAGGGCTCTCCCCCAAAAACACCCAAGCAGAACTTCAGACTGTTCAAATCATTCCCAAGTATAGACCAAATTAAATAAACAGAAAACAAAGCTCAATGATTTTTTTTTGTTG